TGGATTACAAAACGTAAACTGCGCGAGAGAAATAGTAACGACCTTTATTATGAAATATGATGATTTCAGCGTCGCCAACATTTAATTCGCATTTCTTTCGATATGCAACGTAACCATGATTTCACGCAAAGATGCCTAATGTATCTTCAAGTAGGCTTTCAAGTAGACTTATTTCTGCCATTAATGTCTAAACACTGATGTGTATCCTCTCTCTCTGAGTTCTTTTTCTTTTTTAGATAAACGAGCTCGTAGTTTTTCTCTCTTTCTCAATAAATCGCGCGATTTCTGGAACACTGTATCGTCACTATCTCGTTTAAATTCTAGGATATTAGGTTTAGACATCTGTTAATTTCGATTTCTTCCGTAAAATTTAAGTCTATAGTCTGCTTTTTTGTTATATTAATTTATATTCTGCCCGCAAAGAGATATTTATGTATATTTATAATTGAGGGAATGGACGGAATAAAGGCACAATTCTACTTCGGCCCTTTTTCTAGCAATTAGCTTTTTCATGTAATATTGATCGTAATAGAAAAGTATTGTAATATGTAACTTCTTAAAGACATTACATAAATTCATTCGATACTGTACTCATTTGTGTATAATAAAAAAGTAGCAAGTTATTTTAATTTTTATTAATATCAAGATTTTACAATTAGGCCTTTATTCCACTCATTCCCTTAATTATCAATAACAGATCATCGCATAGATGAAAGAGGGAGGAGGACAGAGAGAGAGAGAGAGGGGGGGGAAAAAGGGAGAGGGAGAAAGAGAAAGAGAAAAGAATTTACATTTAGAGTTTTCTATACTATTCTATAATATATGAATTTTTAAAAACTTATAATTTTAACATATAAAAATCAAAAGACGATTTACTAATTTTTATTAACTCAAGTAATTTTCTTTAAATATTTTTGAATAATACGATTATATAACTTGTCCAAATAATTCGTTTGACACTGAACTTTATCATATTTCTTGAATTTACAAAATATTTTAATAAACTACGAGGACCGATCAAAAATGTTTTGCACTTCCCGTATCTTTAGGACAGACGGGGCGGATTTTGTGTAATGACAGTAGAGGTAAAACGAAGCGTCAGGCAAGGCCAAGGTAAAGGTAAAAGGTAAAGGAGAGGTACGGGAAAGGCGGGACTGAAAGAGAAACCATGCGCGGCGAGCCACGCAAAAGTCAACGAACCTAAATCAGCGTATACGTGATAATGCACATAATCCACGAACTATTTCCTTTGTAAACTTCGATAAGTGTGATCCACGCTACATTTTTAATCGCAAAGACATATATTTTTGTGCGACGTGGACGTACCATTAGGTGCATAATCATGACGTTTTCGAGATGGATTCTTACAGAAATCTAATACTGATCAACTCTTAACATTTAGTCAATTTAATCTTCGAGCAGCGAGGACCCAAAGTAAAAATTTGTGGACGATTGTATAATCTGTACGACTGGTATTATGAGATTCTAAATTGTAAGTAAAAAAATCGAATCTTCTTCTATCAATCGCCATAAGACGATGGTTCACTTGTACTCTGTACTTCAAACAGAATGCTTAGACATAATTTTCATTATAGCTGTATAGCTAATAAATAAAAATAAGGATTAATACTGAAAGGCAACAATTAATTACTGTTTTTCAATAATCAATTGAATATTCCACGATAATTTGTGCTCCAGAGCATGCACATATTTAGACATATTCAGATACATTTATTTATATAAAATATAATAAATAATCAAGGGTGACTTCCCATAGACGATATATAATATAATCTAGAAATTAACATATTCTTTAAGCATCTTAATTTTTATACAAATAATATTCCAATTTGAATCTCGCTGAAGTGAAAATTTACTTATATTCTCTTCTGTTAAAAATATTGAAAACTGAAAAAGATTAGTCCTGTTTACGTAACGTATGCGTGGACATCATAAAGAGCCTTACTGGGTTTATGCCATGTATGGTTTATCACAGACAGAGGCAAACGACCGCTGCATAACTTGCAGCGCCCACCGAGTCGTCCGCGAATAAGCGGAGTTAACGGTTGATCGTCTCGTATAAGATATGTACGAGTATATACAGAATCAAGTTTTAGGTTTCGCTTACTGATTACGTTTACACGCACTGATAAAATCGTTTTAATTAAAACCGGTGTTAGATGTCCTATAAACATCCCTTAATATAGATGTTATTAAAACCGTTTTAGTGAATCCAAACCTCTTCAGAAACAGGTGGCATTATTATCGTTTTAAGAAAGCCGTGTAAATGGTCTTCAATCGGTTTAACGTATCAAAATTCAATATTAGCAACTTTAAACGTTAAGATTAAGAAATGACAAAGGATATTTCGTCTCAAGTTCCGTATCAGGCTTTAAAGCTACTTTATTTTTGGTGGAGATAAAATACGTCTGATTGTGTAAACAGGCACCCACACTGGTTTTAACTAAAACTGTTTTTACTAAAATGGTTTTACCCGGTGCGTGTAAACGTAGTCTGTGTCGACTTTGCACGACGGCCGTCACGCCGTGTAGGTATTTTACCTTCTTAAAATAATATCGCAAATCATTGTTGTGACACGTTCGCCTATTAAATAATATTCATGCGCCAATAATGATATAACATAAAACGCACGAGGCATATATTTTTAAAAAGTTCCGACACAATACTAAAGACTGCGACATCATGACTTGTTGATTTTCTCGCAAAAACGAATTTTAAATTCATCCGACGTATTCTATGTAGTAAAACGTTTTATACGACGATCTCATTCTGGAATAAGCAAATGCTATTTCTTATAGGTGATAGTTTTTTTTTTTATCACAACGCGTGTTCATGAATAACGTATCAGTACGACAACGAGCGAAACAACATAATCTCGCGGAATCGGAAAGTCGTGAGTTTCGTCGAAATAACGAATTAAAGGCACTAATACAAATGGGAAAAGAAATCTCGACCGACATTGTTCTCTCGAGGAGGAAGTGGTGCATTCGGATCGCGTGCCAACTGCATTTGCCAATATATCGCTTAATCCATGCGTAAAATTTGCATACAGACTGCCTTTCGGCATGGCGAGTCGTCGCACCGTAAGCTACGAGTATTGCAAAGTGAAAGCCGCGAAGCTCCGCCGGCGAAGCTGGTTTTGCATGTCACGTATAGCTGGTGAAATGCATAAACAGACAGATCGCTTCGTTTGCAGTTTTTTCCTGTAAATACAAAGCCAACAGGTGTGACAAAAGGTTGTTACCTATTGCTTCGATAATCAATATTTACTTTTCATGAAACTTCTCCACGTAAGAGAAATTTATAATGACGAAAGAAAGACGATTGTTTTTTTTTTAAATTATAATACCTGATAATAACAATTTCAAACATATAATTTTGAGAATTACAATCACGTTTCTTGCACGGGAACGTTTCTATGCAGATTGTAGCTTTGTAACGCTTGTGCTTTCCTCTAACGTAAAGGAAATCATTAACTAAAAAACTATTGTTTTATTTTGTTCCCGATGCATGCTTGTGATTCGGGTACAGAGAAATTGTATCATTCACGGTACGGGTATGCGAGCGAGTACTTCGAGTTTCGGCACTTGTAAGACAAAATCTGACGCAGCGTCATCGATCTCTGGAAAACATCTTGGCGTATTTCCACGCAAAACTATCAAAATAAACGCTTGCGACATCGTTAAACTCCATCTCGAACTTGTTTTCTTTCCTCCTGTTTTTCACTTCGTGTAAAGTTTGACGTTAAACATAATATCTTTGTATCTTGTTATACTCGTATATCAATCGATCTCCTATAATCCTGATTCGATAATTATGCAAGTATCAGAACATGAATTAAGTCTATTTTCGCAATATATAGTTACTTAAAGATCAAAGGTTACCAAGAAATTCATCAATAAAATTCACATTCATGAATTTTTTTATAACTTTTGATTTTTAGGTAATCATATATTGTAAAAATGAGCCTTAAAATCAGAATAGAAATAGAAAATAATAATTTCTTCTTCAAAAATATAAAACTCGCGATTGATGATGATGTCGTTTTTCTTTAAGAGAAATGTGGTATTTTAAAACGATGTTCTCTCTTAAATATATTCTTGAATAAGCCATAATAAGTCTGAACGTTTAGTCATGCTCCGAAGAACGGATGTCAAATGGGCTGCCGTGAACGGCGATGCTCGATCGTCTTCGTGACGAGAACAATTATCGGCTCGCGGAAGCGTCGGCCGCGATGATTTGCACAACGCCCGTAGACGGCCGTCATTTTTCCTTCTGAATTCCATTAACGACTTCTTGGCCGGTCAGCGAAAGTGCGTTGACACACGTCTCGAGCTGCGAGACGAAAGCGCTTTTCTGCGCGTGTCGCACCGTAAAACGACGTCGCTTCTTCATCGCATTAGAAAAATCGACGGCTATTTGCGCTTGTAAAAGTACGTTGCAAAAAATGTATAAGCTTCTCGGGTCGTAAAATTATTAGAAAGCGGGTATTATACTCCCGCGGTCGGAAAAAGAGCTATGCGCGCGGCATACGAGATGTCACGATTTTGTGAATAATAAGACGACAAGATTACGAGGTACAAACACATCATGGCTTTCCAACAGTTCTTGAGTGTTGCGTATAGCTCGTTAACGTGCCACTCCTCGTCATCATCCGACATAAGCGTTTGATAAATTATTTATTAGTCTCCGTTCGACCTTATTTTATCGCAATCATTTCATATTAAATAACTTTAATTGCGACTTTTGTCATATTTTTATTTTTTCTCAGAGATCTTGTATACTTGGCATACTCGGCACGAAGTAACGTTTCATACTTGATAAATTTCCTAATAAACTTTCTAGAAATAGATATTATTTGAGCAGATTCTGCATAAGTGATTAATGACGGTTTCGCTTTTTGATAGCGCGTCTGCTTTCTACATTTACACTGAAAGTTAAAGTTAGACTTATTCTCGAAGATATGTATATTTACTCACTTGACTTTGACCGACTCGGTAGGACGCGGGGTCGACATCAACGGTGAGCAGCATGTCTTCCACGGCGCGACGTTCATCGGTCACGGGACTTCCGGGCCGTGCGTTCACGTCGCTTGACAATAGTCCGAATCGACGTCTAAATTCACCTAAGGCCATATGCTTCGGAAATCCAACCTTGTGTAAGCGAACAGCGTCAATTATCTGGCTTCCTCGAATCTGTTCAAGTACGCGTTGAAATATGTGCATTAAATTTGTATATGTGATATTAGATCTTTTCTTAAAAAAAATTAGATGCTAATGAAATTAATTAATTGATTCAATAAAAGCGGGGTTTGGAAAGTATATGTATCTGATGACATGAAACTGATGTCTTTTATTGTTCTGTTTTTATATTTTTATATTTTTCCTTTAGAGAATTTAATATAACTGTACCTGTGATCGCAGAAGAGGCACATTAATGACGTTGTCCTCGCTCTGATTCGATTTCACGGAGAGAAGACTCTTATTGTCGGTACAACCGGCGTTATGTTGAGGCAGAAGGCAGTGCACGAATTTCACGCGAGTTCTCCGCAGTGTTTCTACGAGACCATCCTGAAGACAATTAACGCTTGTATTTTTCCGCTTAATATGTCGAAGGCGATGTATAAATAAAGCGAGATAAATAAAGAATCGCCGTATTGTTCTTACTAGATAACGAGCGAGAAAGAGAAAAATGAAGAGCAGCAAAAGGTAGTATCCGAACGTTGTAACGCAGGTTTCACCGAACATTTTCAGCGTGGCGAATATCTCGCGTCTCGCTTCTCGCTTAGGGCGAAGGTCAATACGTTAAGTTAGTTTGCACGACGTCTGTGCGGCCTTGTGATAATGTTTTATAGAACATGTGATAATAGTCTGATCTTTGACACCGCGACGACCAATCGTAAATAGCGGCAAAGGAATAGGTCAACTATCGATGCCGCGAACATTTCAAGAGTGAAATTGAAAATTCGTTAATAAAGGAGCAGAAACCGTTCTAACTGTTACTAATTTAAATTGCCATCAGAAAGGAATTAATACTCACTACAGTAAATTTCACTTGTAGACAAATGTTCTTTCTTTTTACGGCCGTGAATGTTCTTCGTATGCTCGAAGCTCGCCTCAAAGATTGCGAGCCTTCAAGTCCTGGCATGGAACTGCATAGAGCACCGGAAACTCCAGCACCTCGAGCACTTACGAACAACATGCTCACATGTTCCCTAAAATTTTATTAACAAGTACAAATATATGTACAGAATTTATTTAACTTATTAGAAGAACTTAGATAAACGAGTCTACAACGTTACCTTGTACTTTCCTGAAGTATCGTAATGGCACTCTTGGCGACGGGATTCTCGCGTGTAGCTTTAAGCCAACCGGTGGCAGTGTAAAGCACAGGATTTGTTCCCAAAAGATGTTGTAAAACAAATTGATTATTACCAGGCGCTTTTCGCAAAAGCATTTGATGATCTATAATATCAATGTATCTCGTGTACATTATTGTTTTTTCATACGTAAAATTAGCATAATTATCGATATCGAGAAATTAATTTTACCTCGATCTCCATAATGAGAAAATAAACGATCTAAGAAGGTTTCGTCGCTCCCTCCAGGACACACAGTCTCCTCATCTAGCAACCAGAGTAATCCTTTTCGTTCCATCTGTCTGCCGCCGCTAAGATCGCTTTGACTAGTTCGCAACATTGTCGCGCTTTGCGAGCTTCCTCGATCCAGGAGGGAAACCAAACCTTGAGGTGATCCAATACCTTCCTCGTCATAATCATCTTCGTAATCTACATCGATACCTTCCTGGACGTATCTACATTTTTACGTCGAATAGCTATTATATTTATTTAATAATCATATAAAGAATATATTCGTTGAAGAATTAATCTTACAATACTGTATAAATAATATATAAGTTACTTCTCTCTCTAATATTTTTAATTAACCCTTTAGTGCTACATTATGGAAATAATATACTTGGATATAGTATATTCAACTAATTCAATTGCCTCTAATTTTCATTAAAAAAGAGCATAATGTAAACATTTTTTAAGTCGAAACGCCAGACATTAAGGAACATAACAGTAAGAAAATGTATGTATCTTCATTAATAAAAAGGTTATAAACACTAGAAATTAAAGAAAACCGGGTATATAACCACAAAGGGTTAAGAAAGACTAAAAATTTGAGAATCTGTTCCTTAAATTTCGTACCTATCCTTTGGAGCTACCAACGTAGTATGATGAAACAGTAACTGCATACGTTCCTGCAGATAATTGTGGCAAAGATCTTCAAAGGTTGCACCGGTTTGTCGACCGCACGAAGCAGGATTTTGAAAACCTGGCGAATCACACAGTAGCAGAGATGAGACTGTATGTACAGCGGATGATATGGATCTGAAAAATGACGAAGAGAATTACTAATTAGGTACTGACTAAGAATATAAATGCTGACGAAGAGCTTAATAACTTTGTATAATAAAATTTAATTTTTAAGATTTACATCGTTGATGCTATTCAAACTTTCAAGGAGATCTCTCAAAAGTCATCAATGATATCAAGCTTAATTTTTAAAAATTACGATATATAAAATATAATATGAACGAAAAAATATTTTGTGGCATTCGAAAATTATTCAAAAGCAGAGCAAAATGTATTCAATCAATTCATTTACTTATTGATAAGAGCTGCGACGCAATGGAAAACTTCAGAATAGAGTCCGACTAGAAGTCCTTCCAAGGCATCAAGCCCCGTGACATCTTTGCCCTGTTCCGTTGGACTGGGTGTCCTCAGAGCTGGTCTCGGTGTACTCGGTGTTCCGGCACCTCCTCCATTGATGGAGAACACTACTCGACTCAGTTCCTCCACTGTTGTGCCGAGTAGATTGGCGGCTTTCTCCGCGCATTCAACCCTCGCGAACTGCCACCTGCTCTGCGAACTGGTGCCAGCTTTCACAGCGCCAGCACAACTCAAATGATAAATGCCAGCCAACACTAGCCAAATGACTTTCTCGTCAGCCTCGGAGATACCGAGTATTCTAAACGCGGCAACAATACGATTAAACTCGACCATAGCTCGCTGTTTGTCCTCATGCTTCTGCAGGGGCGTGACGAAAGGATTGTTTTCGGCGACTAGATTCGTGAGGTGTAACTCTTTTCTCAGTGCGCCTTCTGCGCCCGCTAATAAACGGTAAACGGCGTGAAACGTCGGATCCCCGTTTGCTCGTCGACCTATCCTTGACTTCTCCAGCAGCAGTATCTTGGAAGAAAAAGCAGAATGTCATTTATTTCGCCATGTAAGTCTTAGATCGAATGGTTTGAGACAAAAATATATTATCTCACTTGTAGAGAGGCCGATGCGATTTGACCCGACTGATCAAAATCGAGACTAAAAAGCTGCGTAAAACGTGTCGCATTCGAATTCATATGCGTTCTACTATTTCCGAAGGCCTCGAGAACTGTAAATAGTGCATTCAGCTTTTCGATCGTTAATATCTGTAAATAGGAACGATCCTCACTTAAAAACAATTCGTACGAAAAGTGCTAATGCTGCATTTCCTTGTTTTTACTCGCCTTGTTAACCGTACCAGCGGCCAACACGAGATAATGAAGGGCGTGTTTGAAGTTCGTTGTTTTTCCCGCTCCACTACGCCCGAGAAAAACCAGAGAATGGTCCCTGCGTGTTGCCAGCATTCCTCTGTAAGCTGACTGCGCTATGGCATAAATATGCGGCGGCATATCTTCGCTTTTGCAACCTCGAAACATATGCGCGACCTAGAGCAAGAAGGAGTGGAAAGAATTTTAATTTTAGAGATAAAAATCTTAAGCGTGAAAATACAATAAATACGAAATTTAATAATACACGGGATTGATGCAAACTTTTTTAAATTAATTCCTTTTGTAAAAAGCACAAGTATATTATACTCGACAATAATATTACAATTTTATCAAATTGTTACACTGAAAAACTGTGGTATAAGTTAAGTAAACTTCCAAAGCGATCTTACCTTTTCAGAATAAATCGCCAAGGGCGTGACTGGATTGATAACGATCATGCTGTCTCCTGCGTACGTGTGTATCAAGTTACTAGCATAACGTTGCCGCAGCGTGTGGAGAACGGATGATTCATTCAAAAATCGCAACTGGGAGAGTTCCTCAGCTTTGTCGAACTGAGGTGGATTGGCCTAAACAGATGTAAACAATGAATAAATTATAATAATATAACGTTTAGTTTGATCGATTAATAAGTACATAATTAAAAGTTAATTATATAAAGTAACCATAATACCTTCTCTACATCTTCTTCGTCCACGAGCAATTCCTCTCCGGAGATGGTCAATCGGATCCTCAGTTTTCCTGTGTCGGGATCGGCGAACCCGCATTTTGAAGCCGGGGTAAAACCTCCGCGATGCAATAACCAAACTCTCTCGGAAATTAACCATGCTTGTTCTTGCGCCAAATGAAACGCAAAAGGATAAAAAAGAATATTTCTTATGTTGAGATTCGCCTTAAAAAAAAAGATAAAGATTTTTTTTAACAATTCAATTCTTTTTAATATGCGATTTCGATTCAATAAGTGAGGAGCAGACTTTCAAAATGCGTTTTGTCCAAAATTTGTAATTTTCACAAAACGAAAAAGAAAGAAACTCCGCACACAAGAAAAATACGCATTTTACAGAAAATAACAATATGCCAATCAGTAGAATGTGAAATATTAAACAAAATTGCTAAAAGATTGCTAAAAATGTTATTATACAACAAATGCATTTTGTTTGTCTCTAGTTAAAAAATATAATGCACTTTGAAATGTTTATGTTTTTTCACCATATAAATTAACGATGAAAAAATGCTTTCTAAACATCTCAGAGTAGCTTATATTATGAGTCTTTCAACTGAACACTACGTCATCTTTAACTAAAAAAATGAAATTTGGAACAAAATGCATTTTGGAATTCTGCTCTTCAAGTACATTTTTTAAAGGTATAATTAAAAGCTAAAACTTAATATGACCTTTCTTCAATTCTTGATCGTATTTTATTAGATAAGATTCAAAAGATATTACGTTAATTGAATAGAAAATTGGCTACGTTTTTTTTTTAAATTATTTACGTTTTTCTTTTCGTTTGCTTTCGCAGTCACGCAAGCCCCTCGCCCTTTTTTTTCCACGGCGCGAAATGATCCCGTAATCTTTAGCTTCATCAAAGTTTCCCACTGGTAACTTATTAAGAACGATCTAGCGAGGCGCGACAGCGCACACCTACACGATAAAGTTGAATCGGCGACGTCCTCGACGATTTCACTACCGACGGCGGTCAGACGCGATGAATCGTTATGAAACGTCTTATTGCGTGGCTGCGTATTACGACTACAGACGAACAGACTTGCGTACCATTAACTACGGCTACTTATTAACATCCAAATGGCATTCACTCGATCCTTTCTATTTCTATCTTCCCTCATTTTCATGTGTCCTTGTGTTCTTCTTCAGAATGAAATGACTATTATCTCGAAGACATAGACAAATAAGCGTCTTCACTTTGTTATTTCATATCGAAGCAATATTCTTGAAATAAGAACAAATAACTTTATTGGCAATATTGACGATAGGATTATACAAACGGTCTTATTGATAATATTGACGACTTTACTGAATGTTATTATAGCATATTCTCTATATATTATTGATTAATTATAATTATAAGATGTTAATTGAAATTATGTAATCGTTTAAATGGTTTATTAGTGTATGTTTAATGGTTTATTAGTGTTTATTAGATTTACGCGAACAAAAGTTAAACATGTCCCGCGGCTCTATTCTCTTTAAACCTGTGAATCACCGTCGTCGGTGCAGCTGCAAGTTCTAACGTATCGATTTCCGCATCGAGCAATTGCAAAACGGTGACTCGTATGGTTCCACCAGGTAAGGAAGACAGAACAGCGAGTTTCCTGATACATACATTACTAAGTATATATCAGGTCTCGAGGCTCATTGGTAGCGCACAACGCGCCATTGTTTCACGAATACGCGGCAAACGCCGCTCCTTCAAAGGCCTAAATGAGGAGATTGTTTGAATATTACGAGTTTGCCCTTTAAATGAGTTTCACGCGCTCTCACGCGATGACAATTTGCCAGAAATTTCCTGGATTCTCTAAAGGCACATATTATGTTGAAGATGGAGCTTTATGCTCTAATCGCAAAATTACACAGTATATCTCAATTCATTTTATCGAAATTGATAGTTCGGTAGAAGATAACGTCATTCCTAAGATAAATTAATAGAAGAAAAATAAACCGTTTCTTGTATTATATATCTCGAAATCTTTTATTTCGTAAAAATTATCGACATTTTCTCAATCGTTTCATTGACAAAAATTATTTTTCGTTGGTTCAGGCCAATGAATTCAGCAGCCTGGAGAAATTTTCAATTTTCTTCAAATCTTTTGCAAAACATACCTCGTCCGTTTGCGGCATCAATTTATTTTCCAAAAGGACCTCGAGGCGCTTCATACACTCTCCTTCGTCCTTCGCGCGATCACTTTCTCCGCCACGTTTCACATTCTTCATTATGCTTGACTCTACTTTTTCGTTCTCTCGTATTTTTCGTCTTATCTTCCTAGCCAAGGCCATCTCAAACAACTCCTCCCATTCGATAATGTCTTGAATTGGTTTCGCGCATCTTTGGTGACCTGGTCGACTCCTCTTCGATACTTTCTTCGAGTTATTGGCCCAGCTACTCTTGAAACTAAACATCCGGATCCCATTCTCCATGCTCGGTATCTTCTGCTCTATTTCCGCTGTGATCCTATGCCACTTGCGTTCCTTTGGAGTCCTGATGACATTACTGTCATCCCAGCCTTTTTCCATTCTCTTGATCCTGTCGTTCATGCATCCTACGCGCAAAGTGTCCGCCCAGTTCTCCTTCTTGAAGCTTTTGGTAGCTCGTAGTGACGGCGAGCACTGATTGCTCCCATGAGATCCTTTGATTTTTTCTTTGGCATTGGATTTGATGCTTGACGCTCGTTCGAGGACACGATTTGAATTGATCAGTCGATTCTCCGGACAACCGTTTTGTCCAATTTCGGAGGAGTGCATGCTGTCGCTGTCACTGCATTCCCACGAGCTCGTACTATTTCTGCTATGTTTTCTGTCGAGGACAACACCGTTGCTGAATTCGTGCTGCTTCGAAAAATCCTGCGCCGATGACTTTAGGATTTTTTGCGAGGGAAAGCCTTGACGATTGTTTTGTTTAGCTATCCCACTGGCATGAGCTTTGCCTCTACAAGATCTGTGAAGAAGATGATGTGCATCGAGTGACATATTATCGACCTCATCCCTGCTGCGCGGCATCTTCTTGATTTCTCTTCCAAGAGAAGCAGGTTTCACGTTGTCAGTTTCCCAACGTAATTATCACTAATCCCTACGGGGTTTCTCTTACGCAGCAGGCTTTCCTAAGTTTACTTGAGAATTCACATCTATAGAATTCTTAATTAACAGTCGAAAGTTGAAAATTTCTTCATCACTTAGCGCGATAACGTAAGATTATGTCTTTGATGTAAGATGTTTGATGTAAGATAATCATGAAACTTTATTGTAGTATATATGTCTTGCCTTGGCTGTCTTGATAATGTGAATCATTAATCCTATCATCCTATTAATTCCACACTTTTCTTGAAGTCACGACAAGCAATAGAAAATATCAATCACTCAGTTCCCACTCGCATATTCGCTATATAACATATCTTTAAAATCTATTCTCGAGCAGTACCTCGAGTTTGATCATCGTCATCAAATTCGATCGAGATATATTAATTCATGAAGATATAAATGTCATCACGCAAATTTATCAATTTTCTGACACGTTTCTCTTAGTTTCCGTTTTAAAGCGTTTCAACCAACGACTCACATCCGCGAAAACTGAAACGCGGCTTTCTCCAGGAGGTCCTTTCATGACGCGAGACTGCTACGACGGTCACGAGGGCAGGACTCGACGATCACGAGGAGCATCACGGGGGTCTCCCGAGTGTCGACTGAAGCAACGCTGGTGCTCCAAGACAGAGACAGGTCCTCTCGTTGTGGAGAACCGAGGAGAACGAGAGAGGCGTGTGCCCACGAGAGCCGCCCGTGAGTTCTTTCTCTCCATCACGAAATGTAATTCTCCCGCTCGCTCTCCACGTTCCTCCGTCCTCGTCTCCCGCTTCTGTCGTGCAGATGTCCCCTCTCAGTCCCTCTATCGCTCGGCCGACCATACGCTCGGCTTTGGTTACTTCAACGTCCTTCCTCCGCGATTTATACAGACGGCAAACAGTCGGCTAGTAGGCCGATCCGATTTCACGGTGATTGCGAATCAAGATGCAATTAGCGCAAATTCGGAGATCCAGGTGAAATAATTCGACATCTTTTTTCGCGCAACGTAATGTTATTTTGAACATATATCTTATCAGTAAAAGACAAGACTCAGTCATATAATTCTTTACTTCCAACATAAAATATTTAAAAAGCAAACCACAATTTTGCATTTAAATCATTATTCAAGATTAAAATGTTTTAATATGTTCACTCATTTTATCTATATAGTTTGAAGCTAATGATATAGATGCGTTCATTGTCTGAAGTTAAATGGCAAGCTTCCTCTTAGAGGCCACAGAACTCAACCTACGGAAGCGTAACGTAAGTACAACCAAGAATCAACATTTCTAAGAAGTACTCGACTTGATTGTTCGTTTCAAATATATATAGTTGCCGTTTACTGTGCAAAGCTTCTGCGTTTTTGAAAGCTTCGAACGAAACGCGGACGAAATGCCGAGAGTAGTATAGAAGTGTTTATATATAGCTTTCTTCAGATGGGAGTTCTAGGCAAGCACGGGAAACGTCTTATTTAAGAAACTCTCAGTCTAGTCTTGCTTCTTAACATGAAAAGTAGCATATAATGAGTTTTTTTAAGTAGTTTTGTACTCTGTATTTCGCCTTTTTGTTTTTTCTAAAGTTTTTTCAAAATATGTTCTGCTAGAATATACTCTCTAGTTTTTTTAAATTTAAGTTTTACATCCCGCAGCTATCAGATGGAATCACGCTATCGTAACGTTTTTATTTTGTACATGATTAAGTGTGGCGGAAAGAAAATTGTGATCTTTCGAAGTCCGAGGAAAACATCCACGGACTGGTCACGTGCAATACGTCGAAGCGACGACTCGCACGTGCTGCCGAGAGAAGCGCATTCATTTCGAGGGAGCACTGAGCTGCTATTTTAAGAAACTCGTAACACGCGAGATTGCGTCCAACCAAAGCAAGTTACCCGACGGGCGGACATTGCCACAAACATGCGCCAGTACAGAGAGACGTAATATAACGGCGTAGTCAGTGTTTAGCTCTTTGCGATCCGAGTATCACCGGCATGGCCATATTGGTCGCAAGAAACAACCGCAGAATTTCTCGATGTACGATAATTCGCTTCGCATATCGGTAATATCCAAGTATACATATGTATATGCAGATGCCATATCGACTGTATAATGAAATAAATGATGCAACTCTCTTTTAGCTTCTTTCCTCATATCAGATGAAATTCGCAAAATGAGAGCCACTTAGACGAGATAATACCATTCAAGGACATGTAGTGTTTGATCGGTTGTGAGGAAAGAGGTAATTAGTTTTCTAAACGCGCTATTCTAAGTTTTAAATTATGCCAGACTGATGACGCATCGTTGTCATTGTTCGACAATGGTGCGTATTCATTGCAGAGACGAGGAACGTCCTGAATCGATCGTCGTGGGTGGATTGCTACACGACAATTTCTCCGTTACATTTTGTCTACGGCGCGTGGGACGCATCAGATCGATGAATTAGAAATAGATAAAAAAAAGATTTTCAGACTGCGCGCGCGCATACACCCCTAAGGCCAGATCTCCAAAACGAAAGAATGATTTTAGCTAACTCAAGAACAATTCAGTTGAACAGTATAAGAAAAAAAAGATCTGTTAACAGCCAGTAAAAGTCATTGAAATCTTATTAATTCAATTACAGTATGAAACAAATAACATTTTATTAAAACAAGAGCAACAAAATGGAACAATGATTAACTCGAGATTGTTGTGTAATAACAGTGCGATTTAATGAACGATATACGAAAAAAAAATGTATTAAACATTAGCCAACTGCAGTCTAATTGAAAATAATTTTGTTAATTCAATGATAGTATTAATGAAACAAATAACATTTTACAACGAGAGCATGACGATTTATTTCATTAATACTCTGTAATTAAATTAACAAGATTAGACTGTCTACAATTGCTATCGTTAATGCTATTGTATTAACAGCACTGTTTAAAGCTGTTTCCTTCTAATTTTTTTTAATGCTATCGATATACACGGAAAAAATAATAGTATTAATCTAACATTATTTTTTTCCATGTAAATCGATAGTAAAATAAAAACACTAGAAGCAAACAGTGCGATTTACTAGTATGTGTACAGAAATTATCGATATAATCGGAAAGACTAAAACTAGTAACATGTAGAATGACGTATAGCATAAATGCTTCGCTTAACACACATTATAATTATCGTCCTCAATTATCGATCCTTAATATCGTAATTGCTTTTTTTTTCATTGCGACATACGTATCCGTCGATCAACGCTCGTTAGTGCAAAACTTCTGCATAGTTAAGAAATTTCCTGCCAAGCGTAGCTCCTGATCCGAGCGGCGTTTCTCACGGTGCACGATGTGTGACCGCGCTTCACGGTAACATTGTTCCGTGCAGCGACTCGTGCTATGCACATTTTTACGCTGCGCTTAGTGGAGAACGGGACGACGAGGAGATAGGTGGAACACCTGGAATTAAAGTGTAGGTCGAAACGGCCGGTGATCCCTCGATGCGGATCGCGCGAATGCATAACATATGCGACAAACAAACTCGGTTTGACGCGCCGCATTCAATGAACAATTGGATTTCAATAACCGTTATCTTTTAATGCAGCACATGTTACTATCCGATTGTGCTTCCAAGATTCACATTACTGTTTTGAAAAAACAATAATGAAATCTGTCATTTTATATATGTCACGAAGGTAAATGTAAATGCAGCCATAAATTTAACTGGTATCAAGAATAAATACAGTATATATCTCGATAAGAATCTATCGAAAATATCGATAGAACCCACGAGGAAAGGTCGTTCGAGGCCGCACCAGATTCTTGAGAGAAGGAAAAAAAAGAAATGAAATGAAAAACGAGTCTTTTAGTCGTTCATGCTACGCGAATTGCTAAACCGACCTTGTGCGTTGTAGCGATTGGCGTAGGCGTGGTTGCGGCCGGTGAAGTTATAAGTGGTAGATTTAAGAAAGGTGTCCAATTCGATGCGAAGAAGAAAAAGAAAAAGTCACGAAAATTTTAAAATATACGAGAAGGTCAGAATATGAAAAAGATACATTTTTTGTACGAAATGGTTGTTTTATTGATAGTCGCTTTTAGGCGACCAGAAGAAACAAGACAATGATGATCCTAAATTAACATTTGAATCAAAACTAAATGTTGTTTTTGATCTGCGAGCAAAAAAATAACGTTCGATGATTCATGGATTGACGAACAGACCGGATTGACTGGTACGGTCATAGCAGACGCGAGTCGTAAATCTATAACAGCGCGCGTACTTGGAGCTGTGCGAGTAACATGCTTACATGCATGCGTGTAAACCATCTTAATCCGATTTAAAGCTTCAGCGACTCGCTCGATAGAATCCATATATTCGCGATATGATTGCTCTATTTTCTGGGCATCATCCTAATATGTTTATTGATTTCTAAGAAACTTACAACAAAATCATGTTGTGACAAGTCGTATTGTCAAATTCAAACTTGGCTGTACAATACACGAGTTCTACATGAATAACTTATGAAAAAATATAAAAGTATATCTGTATATATAATGATGTATATATAAAATACAGAAATGAAAAGAGTTAATAAGAAATGAAATAATAAGAAATGAAAAAAGTCTTTTTAGTATGCATATTATTATATACAAAAAGAACTCCATGTTAAAACTAATTATCCGCAATTTTTAAAAAGCGAATTTCATTTAAGAAACAAATAATCGCATCAATGCTAACGTCACAAAGAGGATTAACTCCTCGGCGGAGTAAAAGATCGGGAAGTATAGGGTATCCACAAGGGGGCGATGCGACGGTGGAAGTAGAGGGGCAGGGTGAGAGAGGCGCCAAGAATCAGCCGGAGCGTAATGCACGCGGCATCTCTCGCCTATCGCAATCAAGATGCCTCTCGCTACGAGCCGTTGATGGCTGGGGTATAACGCGTTAACGCCGTTTCGCATCAACGTGGGCAGATAAGAGGGCGGGTGCACGTATACGTATGTACCTTCGTACGTGGACTCCCAAGCCACCACGATTACGTGCATAAAATACAAATTACGCCCCGTCGTGCCGCGCCGCGCCGCGAATGCAGCGACCGACTTCGCCTTTTGCCTACCGATCGCA